ACTGAAATAAATTAAGCTTTGCACGATATTCAAATTTTTTGAGTATCACCTGTATATACACATTTTCATTATTTGTGTATTTTGAGTATGAGTGTATATATATATATATATATATATATATATATATATATATATAAATATTCCTTTTTATCCCTGCACACACACTTTCAGATTTTCCCAAATGCTGGGTGCATTCCAGCCACAGCCAAAAATGATAGAAAAAATAGTGAAAAAAGGCTTGCACTCACGGTCTTTTTCTTTTATAAAAATTTCCTTTCTTTATTCCATGTCTTGTTAAAGCATAATCATAGTCATAATCAACGTTTCAGCCATCGTCCGTGGCTTTCATCAGGATCAGTTCAGCATACAGTTCATACATACACTCACAAACACATACACTGGTCCAGAGGTAAGTAGGTACAGTTGAAACTCATAACACATTATACAGGTACACATACACACTGACACACAACAAAGGCATTTAAATATCAGTGTGGCAGTTGGAAAGAATAGTGGATGGTAGATAAAATAATTATTTTTAACTGGGACCGTAGATTCATAGATTATTTGGGGGTAAAGATTACTCACTTTCTTGAAGACCTAATTAATACAAACTACTCAAAGCTCCTAGAAGATTTTAGCTTATAAATCAAGAAATGGAGCAGGTTGGAATTATCTTGGTTGGGTAGGATAGAATACACAAAAGCTTACTTACTCCCAAAACTAATGTATCTACTTAGAACAATCCCAATAAGAGTTAGCTTTAAAACCCTGAGATGTTTTCAAGTAGCCATTACTAAGTTTATTTTTCTTCAGTATATATTAATGAGGATCCTATGGCAAGAGATATGTAAATGATTGCTGCAAAAAACTTGCAGATAACTTGTGATTGGATAACTCGAGACAAGGTGTTGCAGCTATTAAAGAAAATTAATGTAAATAAAGCTCCGGGGCCTGATGGTATTCACCCACGAGTACTTAAGGAGCTAAGTGGGGAAATAAGTGAACCTCTGTATTTAATTTCTCAAGATTCTTTTGTTTCAGGTATTGTATCAGAGGATTGGAGGAAGGCAGGTGTTGTTCCTGTATTTAAAAAGGGTTCAAAATCCTTGCCTGGAAATTATAGACCTGTGAGCTTAACTTCTATGACTGGGAAAATATTTGGAGGGCTATTAAGGGATAATATTCAGGAATTCATTGGGAAGAACTGTGTTATTAGCAATAATCAGCATGGTTTTATGAAACATAGGTCATGTCAAACTAACCTAATTGCATTCTACGAAGAAGTAAGTAGACGTATAGATCAGGGTGTTGCAGTGGATGTGATCTACTTGGGTTTGGCCAAGGCATTTGATACGGTTCTTCACAATGGTTAGTCTTCAAACTAAAAGAAATTGGTCTAGATAAATATTTTTGTTGTTGAGTAGAACATTGGCTCAAAGATAGAGTACAACGAGTTGTAATTAATGGTAAATGTTCTGGTTGGACCAAAGTGGTAAGTGGTGTCCCTCAGGGTTCTGTTTTGGCAGCGCTTTTATTTAACATATTTATAAATGATCTTGAAATAGGCATGAGAGCCATATATCAGTGTGTGCAGATGACTCAAAACTTTGTAAAGTAATAAAATGTGAGCAGGATATTGCTTTGCTGCAGAGGGATTTGGATAGATTGGAGGACTGGGCACTAAAATGGCAGATATAATTTAATTTAGAGAAATGCAAAGTTATGCACTTTGGGGTTAAGAATGCACAAGCAATTTACACCTTAAATGGTAGTGAATTAGGGATAACCGCACACGAGAAAGATTTGGGAATTGTTATAGAAAACAAATTAAACAGCAATATGCAATATCAATCTGCAGTTGCTAAGGCCAGTAAGGTTCTGTCATGTATAAATAGAGGCATAAATTCTCGGGATTAAAATATAATTTTGCCTCTTTATAAATCGCTGGTAAGACCACAACTTGAATATGCTGTGCAATTTTGGGCACCTGTTCTAAAGAAAGATATCATGGCACTAGAAAAAGTGCAGAGATGAGCTACAAAATTGATAAAAAGGAATGGAGCATTTTAGTTAAGAAGAAAGGTTAAAAAATGTAAATCTGTTTAGTTTGGAAAAACAGTGCCTGAGAGGGGATATAATGACATTATACAAATATATTCGGGGCTAGTACAAACCTTTATCTGGAAATCTATTCATAAACAGGGCTATACATAGGACACAAGGTCACACATTTAGGCTGGAAGAAAGGAGATTTCATCTAAGGCAAAGATATGGAATTCTCTGCCTGAAAAGGTGGTTTTGTCAGAGTCTATACTGATGTTTATAGTGCATTTAGATAAATACTTGCAAAAACATAACATACGGGGATATAATTTTTAATTAGTGGGGTAATAGCTGTGTGATCCAAGGAGACATCTGACTGCTATTTTGGGGTCAAGAAGGAATATTTTCCTAGTTTGTTGCAAAATTGGAAGCGCTTCAGACTACGTTTTTTGCCTTCTTTTGGATCAACAGCAAAAGCATATGTGAGGAAGGCTGAACTTGATGGATGCAAGTCTCTTTTCAGCTATGTAACTATGTATTTTGTGCCAGTAAGAATCCCAGAATTTCTCAGAAAATTCTTTAAAAAAATAAATCAGGGAGAAATGGAGGCCTAGGATTTCCAGATGTATATACGCTTCACAAAGCTTGTATGCTATCCCATTATTTAGCCTGGGATAAAAGCAACAATAATAACAAATGGAAACAAGTTGAAACCCAAGAGTCTAGAGCCGACTTTCTTTACAACTGTTTCTGGATAGATAGGAGATGCCTATTAGATAAAATTAAAAAAAAAAATCTATTAATAAAGGCGACTGAATACAGTTAGAATCATAAGGAAAAAAAATTTACGAAATAAATGGAATTATTTTATCTTCTCCATTAGATCTATTGGAAAATAATGTTAGATATTTGGACCTGAGAAGTTGGAGAAGTGGTATTAGTCAGCTCTCAAATACCTACTCAACCTACTTCACACTTATTACAGCATACTTATTCTCTATTCACATACCTGAGGGTTAAAAATTACTTATCTACTAAGCAAATATTAGATCACAACGATATCACTGACTTCCTAGCGAATCACACCCACCAGAAAAGAATATCCCACTCACTAAAGTTTCTCTGCATTAATGATACCTTTACGAAAGAGTCTCCTATTTTGAAATAGGAATTAGACTTAAAGAAAACATTTGAGGTACACTCCTGGAAACAGAGTATTAAACAGTTTTAAAAGGCCATTCATTGTGTAAGTTTGATTGAATTGCATTTTAAAATACTATATAGGTGGTACACGGTCCCAACAAAACTAAATATAATGTATAATGACCATCCAGACCAATGCTGGAGATGCGGTAATGCAAAGGGATCCCATTTCCACATTTGGTAGGAATGTTCGGGATTGGAAAAAAACAAACAAACAAAAAACCTAACAAGACTCCTTTCCCAAATTTTGGGAATAGAGATACTATTGTCTCTGTAGTCTTTTCTCTTTTGTGTAGACCTTCTCCACATGAATAAACTTTCACTTTCCCTGACGATTTACAGTATGCAGGCAATAAAAATATGCATGGCCAGTAATTGGAAAAAGCAAGGGCACCAAAACTGGCACAAGATACTAATTCAGATAAATTACCAGTGCTCTATGTAGAAAGGCTATTTTTCGATAAATAACCAACTGGCTTTATATAAAACAATATGGGAAAAATTGTTAATATCTCCAAACACTGATACGTTTTAGATTTTTTAAATAAGATTTTCAAACTATCTACCAAGGGCAATTTATGCCCACCACCTCTTCACCCTGCGTTAGAATGAATGTTGTTTGTAGTTTGAATGTGAGTTGGCTTCCGATGCTCTGCCTGTGTGCTGAGTGCCTAAAGGGGTCAAGGGGTGAAGTAAATAAAAAAAAACAAAAAAAAACGAACCTCCGAGGTATTCCTAATTACTTACCCTATCACTGCATTTCCACTGCCGGGGATCAGTGTTCCTCTCTGTCTGTCTGGACTCTGACAGCCCAGACAGTCTCCCCTCTGCAAATTAGGACCCCACGGGCGATGTGATCGATTTAAAAAAAGAGTAGTCACATAGCCCCTATAGGCGTCCAAAGTGTTGCCTGCAACATACCCCCTGCTGGTGAAAAAGACTGGGCATACCCCCTGCTGGTGAAAAAAGTTTTAAAATAAGAAAAATAAAGTTAATACATTAAAAAAAAAAATACATATATATACATATACATCTATATAGTAATCTGTATATATCATATATAATGTCTTACTAAGTATTTTTTATTAATATATACATATATAATAAAAATAGAGTAAAATTACACATTATATTATAAAAATAAATAATTACAAATTTACAAATGTAAAAATATTTTTTAAAACAATGATATACATATAATTTTATTCTAACTGTATTTTGATATTATATATATATATATATATATATATATACACACACACACACACACTTACACACTTATTTATACATATATATCTATGTATATATAAATACAATAATGAAATATACATATTTCCATGTACATAATTAGATAAATAATTCATAAATATACACGTAGACTTCAAATATATATAAATATGTATATATATTTAAATTCTACGTGCATATTTATGTAACATTTTTACATAATTAAGTAATTTTATTGATTGCAATATGGGGGACCTAATAATATTTGTGTTCAGCAAAGTCTCCCGAGTATAACAGTACCCCCCATGTTTTATTGTGTTTTTGAGAAGTTATAGGGTCAAATATAAGGGTTGATTTTCATTTTTTTCACATTGAAATTTGCCAGATTAGTTATATTGCCTTGAGATCGTATGGTAGCCCAGGAATGAGAATTACCCCCATGATGGAATACCATCTGCCAAAGAAGACAACCCAAGGTATTGCAAATGGGGTATGTTCAGTCTTTTTTAGTAGCCACTTAGTCACAAGCACTGGCCAAAGCATTCATAATAGTTTTTTTGAATTTTTAACACAAACAAATATAAATGCTAATTTTGGCCAATGTTTGTGACTAAGTGGCTACTAAAAAAGACTGGGCATACCCCATATTGAATACCCTGGGTTGTCCACTTTAAAAAAAAATATGTACATGTGAGGTATGATTCAGAGATTTATGACGAATAACAGTGTTACAATGTCACTATTGATACATTTTAAAAATATATATTTTGAAACAGCAATGTCCTACTTCTACTTACAGCCTTATAACTTGCAAAAAAAAAAGCTAAGAACATGTTAACATTGGGTATTTCTAAACCAAGGACAAAATTTAGAAACCATTCAGGATGGGTGTTTTATGGCTCTTGTATATGTGTAATAGATGTTGGGGGTCAAAGTTAGAAAATGTGTGTTTTTTTATTTCTTCATCATATTTTTATAAAATGTTTTTTATAGTAAATTATATGATATGATGTAAATAATGGTATCTTTAGAAAGACCACTTAATGGTGAGAAAACGGTATATATTATGTGTGGGTACAGTAAATGAGTAAGAGGAAAATTACAGCTAAACACAAACACTGCAGCAATGGAAAAATAGCCCTGGTCCTTAACGGTAAGAAAATTGAAAAACGGTCTGGTCACGAAGGGGTTAAGCTGTGGGTTAAATGTTTATAAATTGGAGAGTGATTTGCAGTTTTTATGATGGTTACACATTATCCATAAGCAGAGTGTAAGGGGAATAACATTTATTGCAGGAAGAATTACTCAAAACATTTTACAACTAATTTGAGGGGAATACACAGTTAAATTGTGCAGACCAGCATCACAGAGCAGGATATGTGAAAACAAACAACACAAATGCCTCTGGGTCCCGTTTTCTGTTCTATTTTTGCATCAAAGGTGGACAGATTAATGTAAATGTTATTACTTTTTAACATTGCGTTAATATTTTAAAAATAAAGGCAATACTTTTTTGCATAATCCTATAATTATTAAACATAATAACCTTAGTTTATGTGTGCTATAATCCTACACTGAATGACGCAAGACCTTATATTTAAAGATAAAAATGCCCATTTGTAAACATTTAAAGAAACAAACAAGAACAAATACAATTTAAGTAGAAAAGTATGTTTTGATGTAGAATGTTACAGTAAATTGTCTTTTTTTTCCAATTAATTGTATAGTGTTCTAAAAAGGTTACACTATATGAGTAAGCATATTGGATTAACCGTTGGAAGACCTAGTGCCAAGGGATTAGTCTGTGGTCTGGATACCAAGCTTGACCCTTTTCACTCTTTTAATGTTTAGAGTGAAGGAGAAACCCCAAACTGCTAACCGGTTTACTGCCATATGGGATTTAAACCCTTTGGTTAGTAGAAAGAATTCCCCATGTATTACACAGAAAAGTTGCTTCTTTCACACAGAGTATAGTTTGACCATAAACCAAATATTTTTTCTTTCAGTTCCACGAACTATGATAAAGCCTATATAGTCTATGTTTTCGACTTCTCTGCAATAGTAAAAAGACAATAACCTTTCACTTGTGACCTATCTGTGCATTTTCTGACATCTGTGGGTAGACAGTGAATTATCATTTACTCGACTGTAGAGGAGACCAGATACTGAGAGTGAAATACATCTTGGTCAAATCAATAGCAGAAAACATTAGGTTAACCCTCAGAATACTAACTTAAGTCTACATGGCGAATGCATGCATTTTCCAATTCCCTAGTAGCCATTGATTACACCCAGAAGTAGACTTGTGCATTTGGTTTCAAACAAATTTTGAATTTGTTTGAATTTTAGGTAAATCAACAATTTGTCCAAAATGCCAACTCCGAAACACTATAGGAATCAATTCCGAAACAAATTAAACAACGAACGGACTAAACTGTTTAATTTGATTTATGATTAAAATTTCTGTCCATGGCGAAAACCTCCTCCCACCCGTCCCACCACAAAAACAAACAAACAAAAAAACCTTCTATGAGATCATTGAGAAGCATTGGAAAGCTGGGATTGTGTATGAAGGCATGCTTACAGCTCCAGTAAAAAAGCTGCAGACAAGAGATCCCTCGTTGTTACATCCAGGTATGGAATAGTGACAACCTGGGTTTATTCACTAAACAATGTTGATTTGAAAAATTCTCTTACAGAACTTGCATATCCAAACAAAAATAGAGCATACGTTCAACTAGGGTTTCCCTTGAGGAAGGTTGTGTGCCGAAACATTGGGACTTCGTAATCTCCAGCTCTGGGTTAGTATACCCGATGATACACTATCTGGGTTTATGCATTGAGCACTTTGTTTGCCTATGTCTATGTGGCTATTTATGCGGTGAATACTTTGCATGTTTGCACTTTGCTATTTATGTATGTTAGATATTAAATCATGTGAATAAAAATATTTCTGTGCAAGATTACCCAGTGTGCTTTGGGTTTATTCTTTATCCAACAGAACTAGTCAATAATAATACGGGACTCAATTTTGGAATTCATCATACATGCATTTTGTAGGATTAAAATTAGATAAAATAGTATCCAGAGGTCAATTTTAATGTGTAATAATGTGAACGTCAGAGATAAAGACAGACATTACTGTGGTTTTCATATTAAAAAAAATTATTTACTTCAGTGATATGGGATTTTTAGATATAAATCTAAAAAAAACGCAGATGAAAATGTACAGTCTCCAGCAATGCTCTTCCAGCTTTTGTAAATTAAAATATAATTTCCAGTTTTAATAGGATCTTGAAAAATATATTGAAGATTAGTAATGCAAGATTTATTGAGGCTACTTCCCACATTACAACAGGAATGGACGCAAAATGTCCAAGTCCACATCTTATTTCATAACATGCCCGCCAAAAATAGTGCTCACTGATGGGAATGCTGACAGAGTATACGCAGAACACAGAATGGAAGGTGCCAACATGTGGTGCTGAATATTTGGAAACACTCACCATATGATAACATGTTCTCAGGCTGATGTTCTGTCTGCTACACTAACAATGGATACAGGAATATCCGAGTTGTTGAGAATTCAACAGGAAGTAGAATATCTTAGGTCATTGGTGGAAGCAGAGATGACCTGGATTTTTACAATTCATCTATTTTTAACTAAACACACAATTTCCTCTAGAAATCCCAACACTTCATGGAATGGTAAATAATGTTGCCAACGAGCAGTGCTAATGCATGTTCCTCCTTTAATGAATTAATCGGTTTGATTTAATGAGTCTGCTTAGAGAGTAATCTTTGCAACCAAACAACAAAGAGTCCTGCGCATCCAGTATAGCTGTGCATACCCAGGTGCTACCACAATTTATTTGAGGACAAAGTTAAAACAGCAAACATTTCGAGCAGCAGCCCTTTCTCATTAGCATTGAGAAAGGGCTGCTGCTCGAAACGTTTGTGGTTTTACCTTTGTCCTCAAATAAATTGTGGTAGCACCTGGGTGTGCACAGCTATACTGGATGCGCAGGACTTGTTTGTTTTTTGGTTGTATATACCTTGTTGGGACTTCAGTGTGGAGTATCTGCAGCACAGGTCTAACGCGTTCTTTGTTTATATTTTGAATTTTGTAGGCATTTTTTGCCTCTACCTCATCCTATATAGAGTAATCTTTGCCATAGTCTGGAAACTAATTTAAGGAGTGATAAAACAAGACTTAACAGAAACAAGAAGCTCGAGTTGCATCGAAGTACATCTATTGGATAGAATCGTTTGTGTAATGATCATAAGCACTAGACATATTACTTAGAGACATGTCGTATCAGGACAGATTAGGACCCTAAAAAAATATAAAGAGAATACACGGGACAGTTGCTTTTTTACCAGTCCCCAGCACAGACAGACTTCATCGCAGCCCTGGAAAAAAATGATACCATTCTTGTAAGGCAAGCATGCCAAACTCAAAAGCTAACACGGCCATATAAACAAGGTTTAAGTTTATGTGGGCAGCAAAAAAACTAAATCTTCAGTTTTCATAGAAACATAGGTTTATGTAGAAAAGTACAATATAAAAAAAAAAGTCGCCTCACTGATACAGGACGTCCATACGCTTGTAGAGCTTCAAAGTAAACAAGAGAGCGAATTTATTTTAAGGTGACGTGCATTTGCACTCCCCCTGATTTAAAACATTGCTTCCCCTCCCACCACACTAATACACTGCCTGATCGCTCTCCTAAATTAATACACGGCCCCCTCCCTCCATCAAATTCTGCAGACAGACACTCTGCCCTCTAGTGGCCATGGGAGGGTCCAGCAGGATCTTTCTGGTCTTGTGGCTGGCCCCTGCCCAAGTAGTATGGGGTCCCTAGAGCATTTGGCACCCGGGTGGATCTTGTGTTTGGTATTATTTAATTCCAAGGCTGGGTTATTATGGAAAAAAAAAATCACAGCTAAAATCAGGACCTCATGGCACAGAGGTTAGAGATGTGCATGGAAAGAATTAGTTTTTTTTCCCCCATTCGTTACAACTTTAGTCATCCGAAACACACACATCTATTTGGTCAAAATTTGGTAAAAAATGTTAAAAGCTTTAACCTCTATGGAAAATTAATTATTCCTGTATGCAAGCAGGGGCGTACCTAGAGCATTTGGCACCCTGGGCGGATCCTGTGCGGCACCCCCACCAAAAAAACAAAAAAAAACCTGTAAAAAATGTTAAAGGTTTTATTTCTTTTATTTTTACAATTTGTAAACTTTGCAAAACCGCTGTCAGCCCCTCCTACAAAACCCTTGTCCTGCCCTGCCCCTCCTACAAAACCTCTGTCCTGCCCCTTCTACAAATCCTGTACTGCCCCATCTACAAAACCCCCGCAACCCCCTTCCACAAATCCCCTGCTTATCCCCCCTTATAAAGACTCCTGTCCCAATACAAAACCCCCACCCCCTTCTACTAAATCCCTGCAGCCCCACACACACATTTACAGGCAGACAGTCACACACTCAGTTACAGACACAGTCACACACTCAGTTACAGACAGACAGTCACACACAGTCACAGGCAGACAGTCACACATACACATTTCCTCCGTGCGGCCAGTTTATCAGCTGTTTGCTTGAGTGAGCTGTACTGGCCGCACGGTACCCTAACTACCATGGGACACTGTGCGGCCACAGCTCACACAGCCCCCTCCAGCCAGGGCCGGTACAAGGATTTTTGCCGCCCAAGGCAAAAGTAAAGTTTGCCGCCCCCATGTGACATCACAATGCCCCAGCCATATAATTTGCCATGTTAACTAACGCCAGTGCTACAGTGCCGCCGTGTTTACATTACCGTGTTTACAAGGCCTGCAGGGACAGGCTATAGACACCAGAACCACTACATTAAGCTGAAGTGGTTCTGGGGACTATAGTGTTTCTTTAATGTGAGGTAAATTAGAGCTTAGTGCCACGAATAATATACTAGATTGCCTACTTACAACCAGATGAGGATGATGATGGGCTCTAGCTGCAGTCTAGCTCCACTGGTCTGGTGCAGAACAGGCTCTCTGGAGGCGGTTTGTAACTGTGGTCACAAAAATCAATGTTCTGGGAGAACGGGAAGCAGCTGCATTTTTGGGGGGTCCTTTACACAGCTCAAGGTCTGGGTCCCAGGGTCCACCTTCATGTTCCACCAATGAGTTTGTTCACAGGGGGTGGAGTGTGTAGGGGATGTCCTGATATGTGTGTAAGGAATGCATTGTGTGAAATTGTGCTTGTATGTGTAAGGACTGCAAGGTGTGTTTCTGTGTATGTATGGAATGCATTGAATGTGTGTAAGGGGTGCATTGAGTGTGTGTAATTAATGCATTGTGTGTTTCTGTGTGTGTAAGGGATGCATTGTGTGTAACGGTTGCATTGCTTGTGTATGTGTGTCTGTGTGTTTTTCTGTGTGCAAGGGGTGCATTGTGTGTATGTGATGAATGTCAATATCTCCTCCCGCTCCAATTTCTCTTTCTCACCCCCCCCTTATTTCTCTTTCTCACCCCCCCTTATTTCTCTTTCTCACCCCCCTTATTTCTCTTTC